CACTGCAACGGCGACTGATACTCAACGCGCCACGGTACGCACACTTGGACAGCAAACGCCACTTTTTCCCTGGCAGCCTCATGTTTGACAGTGCAGCGACTACTGAAACTAAAGGGCGTTGTGGAGATGGAGGTGGGTTGTTGGCGCGGGAGGAGGTGGATCCTGTGTATGCGTTCAGCCAGCCGCTCTCTACAGACAGTGGCCACGGCAGGCCAGCCATGTACAGGCCAGCCGAACCTCTCCTCACAGGGTAGCAGCCCAAGGATTGCACTTGCCTTCTCCCCTCTCCTATGACTTCATGACTTCCGTCCAAGTATTCTTTTGCTTCTCACTACTCCTCTAAAGGGGAGCGGCCCAAGGATTGCAAGATACTCCAGGTAGGAACCTTTCTCATACCCAATCCCACAAGCCCTCTGGGCGTTGGTGGTTTAGGGAGTTTCCTCTTCCAACCCCCTGCTTCCCCTTCGGGGACGGGTTTATCCCTCCCCCTACCTCCCCCCTCTGGACCTGAACGGGGGTGGTCGCGAGGGGTTGGAACGTCTGGGATGGCCCAAGATGGCTCAAGATAGCGCAAGATGCGCCAAGATGGCTCGCAAGATGCTCCGAGAGACCCCAAGAACGCTCCAAGGCGGCTCCAAAAGGCCTCCGAGACCCCACTCCAATGAGGCTTCCCAAAAAAACATAATTATTTTAACAAATCTTGGGAAGATCAATGATTGTTGCCTTCTCGCCTTTTCGCTTCCTATGGCCATCCGAGGCTTCAAGATGGCTCCAAGATGGACCAAGAGGGCCCCAAGAGGGGCCCACAGAGGCCCAAGACGGCCCCAAGAGCGCCTAGGAGCGCTCCAAGAGCGTTTTAAGAGGGGTTCTGGAGGCGATGTTTGGCGCTCTGGAAATGCAGCGCTAATTAACGACCCCCCTTCTTTGATCGATGTCCTCCAAGATGGCCCCAAGAGCGCCCCTAAAGCTCCCAAAAGCCTCCCAACAGGGCCCCAAGAGGCGCCCAGACGGCCCCAAGAGGCCTCCAAAAGGCTCGAAAGAAACCCCTACAGGCCCCCAAAAAGCCCCCGAGCGGCCTCAGAGAACCCAAGATGACCTCCAAGATGGCTCAGATAGCCCGAGCTGGCTCACGACGGCTCCGAAAATGCTCCAAGAGGCCCCAAGACCGCTCCAAGACGGCTCGACATGGCCACGGAACCTCCCAAGCCTCCCTCGTTGCTTGACTATGCGTGCCTCTTCCTCTCCCCCCGTCAGCTTTCATGCGCATCGTTTCTGGATGGGTTGGTGCGGATACGTTTTTTGGTCAGCGGCCTCATGGAGCGGGTCGCAAGGCGTCCAAACACTAGCCGGGCCACGACTAGGCAGCAGAAAAAGCGGAAAGCGGAAAAACAAGATAGGCGCAGAGAGGGGCCAGCGAAGCGAGCGCGCGGGCTGCCACTCAGAAGTGCACCAGGAGCGGCACTCCCAACCCGGTGGCGTGGAAATCCTGGTGGCGACCAACAGGTAGGCGCAGCCACAATGGCGCGGCGGCGCGACCATGTACACGCCCAGGTCGACCACCCGTTGTGAGTCGGCATAGGGCCCGACGAAAGCGAACAGGTCCGACAGGCTGGTGGGGATTTCTGTTGCGTCGCAGCCGCGGGCGGGAGCGCCAACGGCGAGTAAGGTCCGAGCGGGCGTCTGGTGGGGATAGTTTTTATTGCAACCGCAGGCGAGGGCGCCAGCGGCGAGTGAGGTCCGAGCGGGCCACGCAAGAGCCGAATTGCCTAACGCCGACCGGCCGGCGACCTCAGCAGCGCCTCGGCGGGCGGGCCGGCGTGAGGGGGGGTGCAGGCTGCGGCTGCCAGCGACCAGGTCCAGGAGCGCGGACATGCAAGAATTACCAACCAGGGTTGGGGCGCAGCCAAAATGGCGCGGCGGTCGTACCAGAATGTGGCCAGGGAGGCAACCAGGCAGTATACGGCGTCAGCTGCCACGGGTGGGCCGTACTGGCCCAAAACTGGTGCGTAGGGTGGCGCCACCAAGGTCGCACACAAAGACTCCCGAAGGGAGTACTGATCCTGCAAACGACCGTCCACGGGGTGGTCCCGATAGGACGAGCAAAATAGCCAGGACAACGATGGATGTAATCGACACCGTAACACGCATGAACCACCGATCAGGTAAAGCTTTGGCGGGGATCATTTTAGTCAGCGGCCGCGGGCGAGCGCGCCGGCGGCGTGTCAGGTCAAAGCGGGCTACGCAGAGACGAATTAGGCAAAGGAAACGCAGGAAAAACAAAACGGAGCGACGCGCGAGGCGACAACTAAGCGTGGCCGAGGCCTCAGATGGTGGGCTGCCGAGACTGAGACTGAGGAGAACTGCCAACGTGCACAGCTGCAAGTCCGTCGGAGGCGCCAAACGTCCGAAAATCAACGACGGCCAGGGACAACTCCGAGAGAGAAAACGTGATACCGTACCTCAGACGACTGCGTGGGCACCAGGGTGGCCGTGGCCAACGAAACGTCGGTCGAGGTAGGAAAGAGAAATGCAACCTGGTGGGGATACGCGAAGCGTCAAGAATTTCACAAAGGTAGCAGCTCAAGGATTGCACGTTGCATTTACTCTTGCTTGCTCCACTTGGCTCACCACTTCGCACATGTAAAGCATGTATCGCATGTTACCGACCACGCCACTTCTTTTATCTCAAGGGTAGCAGCCCAAGGATTACAAGTTGCATTGCCATACTTGCTTTTGCACGCGCCAGACCTGTATCGCATATCGACCACCAGGAACAACAGTACGCACATTGGCGGCGAACGCCATGCTTCTTCCACTTACTGACAGCCTCATGGTCAACAATGCTGCGTAGCCCAAAGCAGGCCAGCCATACGACAGGCCAACAGATACACAAAAAACTATCCCCCTCCTCATCTTGACTATCCGCTTGCTTTCTCCTTCTCCCGCTCACAGGGGTAGTAGCCCAAGGATTGCAAGTCCTGTTCACAAGGGTAGCAGCCCAAGGACTGCACATAGATCGCTCGGCACCACAGTATGCGCACTTCGACAGCAAACGCCACTCTTTTAGCTACTGGCAGCCTCCTTGTCAGCAGTGCTGCGGCGTACTGACACTACTACCGTTCTGCACTTGCTTGCATCTCTGACACTACACTTCCGTTGCACCTTAGGGGCAGCCTGTATCAATGATACTATGGTGGATTTTATTTGGGTGCTTACTGGGGAGGGCGATCACACACTAGGTACGTGCTGACCCCTAGTACCTGGCGGGCGCCTACTCGTTTACTATCCTCGTCGCCACTTTTGTTCTCACTTTTTCCGCGGCGCACGGCAGGTACTTCGTGCGCCAAGTCGGGCTTCCATTTTCGTTTACGCCTCTGTTCAAAAACACCACGATCCTAGGATTCAGGTTTGGCCAAAAGGAAAAAGGCGGGGGCAGGAGGGCTTCTGAGAAGCCCTTCCGCCTTTTCACTTCCCGCCCTCGCTCGCCGCCAGTTCATCTCGAGTCGCTGTTTGACGGGCCCGAGGCATAGACCCACCGTCCCGAAGCCCAAGGCTGGTGACAAAAGCGGCCGACCCGACTTTTTCGAGGCGCTCTGGTGTCTGGGAGGGCCCTCGACGGGCCGCGGGACTGTCAAAAAACGACTTGGAACGAAAAACTGGTCATGGAAAGTGGGTCGAGATCTCTGGGAATCGACGCTGTGAAAAAACTGACGTCGGGGGATGCGACTCTGGAAGGGGAACCCCCCTGTGCGGCACAATACTCGGCGCACCAGCCGTGCTCTGGCCGTGCACGCCGTCCACAAGAACCGGCGCAGATTGTTCAGATGGTAACACGGCGTGGGCAGAACACACGGCCTACGGTCAGGACCTGTTGCTTAGCGTCTCGCCCCAGCGGGCCCGGCGACATGCTCTCATGCCCTGCAAGCGGATAGCGTGTCGCTCCGAACCGCGGCGCGGGAGGCTCGGAAAGGCCCGGGACGCTGGCGCTGGGGGTCTGGGCCGTGGATGGCGTGTCGCGCCGAAGCGTGGCGGGGCAGAGCCAGAAGCACGGCACGCTGAGCCGAAGTTCTCGACCGTAGCACTGACTGGTCTGCGCTGGGGCCTCGGGGAGCTCTGAGCCAGGACCAGCAAGCCAACTCAGGGAGCCGAGGCCTGGGCGAGCAAGGGCCGAGGCGAGCGCAATGGTCTCCAAGCGAACTCAGAGTCCTCCTTCTCCTCCTGGGGAACCAAAAGGGACCGATACCGCTGCTCCCTGGACCTCTCGCGGGGTGCGTTCTGACCGGGATTTCGAGGCGAATCCAGCGGTGGCGACGAGTGCCTCCCAGGATGCCGAGAAGAGGAAAACGGGAGAAGGGTAGCGGTAAAGGTACCTTTTCCTCCTCCTCCGCCTCCTCCTCCTCCTCTTCCTCCTCCTCCTCCTCCTCCTCCTCCTCCTCCTCTTCCTCCTCCTCCTCCTGCCTAGGGCGGAGGACTTCAACCCGCAGGCGGCTCCGCTCAGCCGCCGGGCCGACGCGCGTGCTGCAGTCGCCCATCCCAACGCCCGCAGCGCTTGACCTCCCAGCGCGGCCATCCCGGGCGGCGCGACGTGGCGCACGACCCGCATTCGCCGCAGCCGCCGCAGCCGCCGCAGGTTCAGCGCTGCAGCCCGGCCGCCTCCTGGCCGCATCCTGCCGTACTCCGTGCCCTCGCGGTGGAGCATCATAACCGCCTGCTGCGCCGCAGACCCCAAGCGGCCGCCCTGCTCAGCGGCCAACAGGACGACGGAGGGCCCGTAATGAGTGGTTTTGTCCTTCTCACCCTCACGGGCCGCCACGCCGGGGACGAGGTTCGCTTGGGCCAAGTCCGCGGCGAATGGTGACCGGACAATTACGTCCAGGAGGAAACGGCGACTGTCGCCAGGCCACCGGACGAGCAAGTCCATGAAGCGTTCAGGGACAGTGCCCTCGGCGTCCATGTAGCTGGATTGATGATGTTATTGGTTCCTCGCGAGCCAAGAGGACCTACGAACAGAGCTCCTGTCCTGTCATGTTAAACTGACTCCTGCACAAGGGGGTCACCGACCCCAGCAAATACAATGCACAACACGCCCCCTTGGAAGCTCGGCGTGTGTCTAGAGTCGAGCTTTCAACCGACTCCTGAAACGGCAACTAGGCTGGGGCGTCCCCCAGGCAAAATGAGCATGGCCATCAGCGCGCTACACCACAACGGGTCTGAGCACGAGAGGAGAAAATTAGAGACATAAAGCATGACAGATGGAACGGGAGCTCAGCAAAGCGTAGCCTCTGAAGGTCCTCGCCCTTGGCCTTAGCCCTGGCCTCACTCCCAGCATGCACCTGAAGGAAGGCACCATGCATGCTGATCGACAATGGCTGGAAACGTGGAGTAGCCCATCTCCACTTGTACGTTGTCTGCGACTGAGTGCCAACCGTCCTCATCATGCGGTTGTTCTGATCCACCATCGACTTAGTCGACGTGGGCAACACGCAGCCAATGCCTGAGAGGATCTTCTTGTCCTTCGCGTCATCGGGCTCGGTCTGCATGAGGAGCCACTCCTGCCCCCCCCCCCCCAGCCGGCGTAGCGGAACCCCGCGTAGCCGAAGACGGTGGCCACGACCAGCGCCCAGACGACCAGCGCCAGCAAGTAACTCGCCCAGTCGCTCGCGACCACGCCGTCCTTGGAGCAAATCTCCGTGTCGCAGTAGCCGTCATACTCGATGGCGGGTCCTTCGCACCCTTGAAGGAGCGCTACTGCCGCCGTGATCATTGCCAGGGCCGCTGAGCGGGTCACACTCGGCGAAGCGGCCACGCCTGAGGCGCGCCGAACCCCAGCCACCGCCCCCACGTCGAATTCCACCTGATCCGACTGGTTGTCGCTCTCCGCGACCTGGCCCATGTCCGTGTAGATGCCGTTCATCGTCCTGAACTTGACGAAGCGCTCGTACCCGAGGATCTTCGTACCCAGGTCGGCCTTGTTGTCGTCAGTGCCGACGGTCCCAAGGTCCATCAGCTTCCTCTTGATAGCCTGCTGGAGCCAGAGCACACGCGCCTCCAGGCCCCTGACCTTGCCAACTCCTTCCCGCTTGGCAATCCCTCGGGCCGCCGACGAGTCCGTCAGAAGAGTAGTCGCCACCGTGAAGCCCATGAACTCCAGGAGCGACTTGAAGTAGAGGAGATCCTCAGCGACTGCCGTCGCCGCATAGCACTCTGCCACTCCCGAGCTAGTCGCCACGATTGCCTGGCGCCTGCTGAAAGAGTGCATGGGGGCGCTGTCGATCTCGATATTGCCGCTCGACAAAACAAGGCCGAGGTGCCCCCCATGAGCGCCTTGTGGGCTGGCACCCCTGGCGTGGGCGCTGCGTTCGCGCTCCCGAGGTTGAGGGTCTCGACCACGTAGTCCAGGTACTTCGGGTTCGCCTTGAGCTCCGTCCCGTGCTCGAACCGCGTCCTCAACCTCTTCAGGTGTTCGTAGGTGGTGCCGTACTCGTGGATCTCGCCGCAGCTGAGGGTCACGTGCTGGCCCACCTCGTCACGGAAGCCCTCCAGCGCATCCCCTGGCCCTGCCACGTGTAAGTCGTCCATGTGGAGCTCGACCACCACCTCAGTCTCTGAGTTGTAGAAGAACTGCGGGGCCATCTCGCACCGCGCCAGGCGCGTCTCGTCCATGAGAATGCCTGCCATGTGCTCCACCCAGCCAGGCGCCGCCGTGCGCCTGCCAAGCAGCTGTCTCTTCAACTTCCAGTAGATGTCCGTGCTCTTGCCCTCCGCCTGCAGCCTGTCGAGGTACTCCTGCGGTGGATCCACCACCACATCCTCGTGCTCGGGCGCCCGGTAGAAGGCGCCCGTCGCATCTAGCGTCATCACCTCGAAGCCGCGCTTGAGAGCCACGAAGTCAATGAGCCTATTGGAGATCGGAGCCGATCCTGGCGTGAACAGGTCGTCGCGCCACTCCTGCCAGCGGAACTCGCGGCAGACGAATCTCACTTTGCGCTGCCACTCCTGTCGCGCAGGCTTCCACGTCCACTGCTTCTCCCAGCGGGTGGTGATGTGCTTCATTCCCCTTGCCTCCGACTTGGGGGCGCCCTCGCCAACGCCGTGGTCCAGGAGGCTCTGCAGGTGCTCAAGCGTAAGCTTCTTGTCCAGCTCATCCTGAGCGTCCACGTCGAGCATGTCCTCGGTCTGGTCCTCAGCCTCGTCCGAGATCTCCTCCCAGAACGCGTCGGGCGGGTCGTCTATGTTGCCGACCCCCAGCTCGTGGACCGCCGCAACCCGCGCTCGCTTGCTCTATGAGGCCTCCGCCTCAGGGGGCAGCCCGCGCCTCTCCGCCTGCGGCGGGGGGCGCCCCCATGACCACATCTCCTGGCGCTGGCTGCTTGGGCTGCGGCTGTGGCTGCGGCTGTCCCGCCGCCACTGCTGGGCCTGAGGCCTGCGGTTGTCCTGCCGCCACCGCTGGGCCTGAGGCCTGCGGTGGGGCTTGGGGCTGAGCAGGGTCCGCTCGGCCCTCGGGTGGCCCTGCCGGCGGTGGTGCTTGCTGCTGCTGCTGCTGATCCGCCCTCGGGATCCCTGTCGCCACGGGCGGGGCTGCCCGCGGTCGCCTCGACCTCTCGGGCGCCGCCCTCGTCGCCCACGGGAGGCCCGTCGCCGACAGCAGGAGGTCCTTGTCAGTCTGTCTGCCTTCAGGGCGCCGCCGCACAGTCCGAGCTCTATCGACCCCTTGCGGAGTCATCAGCAGATGCCCCTGGGACTCATCAGATCTGCCAACCCAGACCCCACGGCTCCACTGCGCCCCCCCGCGGTGCAGCCGCCATCCTCCACCGAGTCCTCGATGTTTCGGTCGAGCTATTCGATATAGCACCGTCTCACCGAAGGTGCAGATGTCCCCTTTGTAGGGCGTGCCCGTGGCTATCTCATGTGGAGTCTGGCCTCCAGCTCGTCGTGATCACCGCTCGTGTAGCCACCCAGCATGACGCATCATCCAGGCCCAGATCGGCATGGCCGCCGTGATCCTGGTGCCGTAGCGCTTCTCGAGATCCAACCTGAGGACCCGCGTCTGGCCCTCTGCGATCTTCGCAGCCGCCTCCGCTGGGTTGGACTGGCTGCTGTGCTTGGGGGCCAGCTCTGAAATGACCTTGCCCGTCAGCTCTGCGACGACCCCATCCAGGATCGCTTTCGTCGCAGGCTCAGAGTGCGTCCTGAGTCTACACTTCCCCGTCTCGAGCCGCTGCGCGAACTGCTTGGCGCCTGCAATCGCGCACAACGGTGCCGACGTCGATGGGCATGGGATGACCTCCACCACTCCAGCGTCCCAGCTGAACGCCGCGAGCATCGTCGCATAGGTGTCCTCGACCTTCGTCAGCTCGCCGTCCTCATCAGCTGTCTTGCAGAACCCAAAGTCGAAGCTGATGAGCGGCGCCTTCCGCCCGGAGTCCTCGAGCGGGATCTGCGCGCGTGGAGCATCGGGCGCCTTGCCGCGGACGCACTCCTCACACCGGGCAGCGGTCGGCAGATGGGTGAGGCGACGCTGCCTCTTCTCTTCCGCGCCCGGAGCCTTCGGCACGGGCAGCTCCCTAGCATCGACTGGGTCGTGCTGGATCCCGAGCTGCTTCTTGACTGCCTGCTTGCGCGCCCTCTCGGCCTCCGACCGCCTGACCGCGGCCTCCGCCAATGAGCCTGTCCCAAAGCTCCGCCCTGGCACCGTAGATGGGCATGCACAGCCCCCCCCCCCCAGTCTGGTCCTCATCGCGCCGACTGAGCTGTCCGCGTTGAGCACAGGAGCCGTCGTCGCAGCCTGCCGCGCTGCCGCGCCGCGGCAGTGGTGAGCCTCAGCTGCGGGGCCCGCCGCAACAATCGGGACCCTGGGGCTGCTCCTTTCCAGCGTGAGCTGCACGCTGCGATGGCCCTTCGTCATGTGGAGCCCGTCCTCCAGGCTGAGGTTGAACCTGAAGCCCTGCCTGAGCAGCTGCCCCATGCTCAGCAGATCATCGTTCACGTCGGCGACGAGGAAATCCGCTGTCGCCGTGATGCCCTCCTTAATGGCCATCTGAACTCCCTTCAGGCCTGCCGTCGGTAGCGGGCGCTGCTGCACGTCGAAGAGCCTCGGCGCGCCCACCGCAGCGCTGATGGGAGCCTCTGGGACAAATCTGTGCCTGCAGAGATGGTCATCGCTACCGCTGTCGATCAGGATGGAACCGCCGACTTTCGCCACCTGGCCAGTCGGCTGCGCCGTGACCGCGAACACCCAGCCATCGAGCTTGCCATCAAAGTAGCCCAACGCCGCCTTCACAGTGCCATCCGCTGGCTGCTGGACTGAAGACGAAGATGCGTCGCCTTGAACAGCTCGTGTGTGACCTGGCTCCTTCTTCGAATCATCGGCTTTCTTCTTCCTGCAGTCCGCCCGCTTGTGGCCCCACTTACCGCAGTAGCCGCGCTCGCCGTCGAAGTACTCCGTCTGGTTCTTGGCGTGCTTGCCGCCGTCACGAGCCTTAGACTTGGTCTTTGAATCCTTGCCCTTCTGGTATCTGCCAGACTTCCCGCCTGACTTGTCGGACTTGTACGTCTTGCCCTTGCCGTTGGCCTTGCCATTGGGCATCTGGGCACGGACTGCGTCCACCTGCATCGGGACAACCCCACCCACGTCTGGGACGAGAGCGAAGGTCCTGCCCTGGTTGTTGTAGCCCCTGATATGACTGCGGGCTGCGGCGAACGTGAGCTTCACCTCCTCTGGGGCCTGTCGGAGTACCTCTCGATATGGATCTGGCGCGTGCTCCAGCAGCACGCTCACCCTGACATTGTCAGAGACGGCTTCGCCGCTCTGATCAACATACTCGGCCACAATCGCCTCCCAGGCGGTGAGCGACTGAAAGAAGTCGGCGCCCGCCTCGCGATCCTTGGCCCATTTGTCCTGCGGGTTCAGGATGAACCGCAGCATCGCCGTCCAGCGATTCCCTGAACGACTCTCGTACTCATTCTTGAGCTGGCGCCACGCCTCGAGACCGCTCTTGCGCGAGAGTTTGACCACTCCCATCGCTTTACCTTCGCAGTATGTGATCAGCAAGTGCCACAGCCGTTGGCTGACCTGCCTCGCGCGCTCGTCGAGCTGATCGTTCAGCAGCGGGTCCTGCCTCTGGCCCGCCGCCGTCATGAACTCCCCGAAGCCTCAAACCTGAGACTCCAGTCTCCCTAATTCTCGTCCGTGCCGTCGAACCGCTGTAACCTCATGTCGGTCCGCACGTCGACCACATCGGTCGCCGCCATCGCTGCTGTCCTGCAACCCTGTCGGGCGGGGAGATCGCGTGGCGCGCGAGCTCAGCTCCCCCGTGGCGTGGGAACCGAGCTCCGCTACCATGTAGCTGGATTGATGATGTTATTGGTTCCTCGCGAGCCAAGAGGACCTACGAACAGAGCTCCTGTCCTGTCATGTTAAAGTGGCTCCTGCACAAGGGGGTCACCGACCCCAGCAAATACAATGCACAACAATCCACCACGTAGAGCTCCGGCGCCGCCACCTCGAGGAACACCGCCGCCCCGGTGGCGCGCAGGTACTGTACTTTGCGAGCACCGCGACTGCAACTGTGTGGCACCGCAGCCGGCCCGCGCCCGCGCGGCAGACAGTGAGATGATGGGGGTGTAAATCCAACGGTTCGCCGCATGGGTCATCCTCTCCCTAGTTCTGCAAGCCTGCGGCGACGCGCAGATGCGCAAGCGGCTCTTCGTGGCAAAAGCCCATTGCGAGCTTGCCGTGCGCAGCGCTGGCTGGTCGGGCACCGTGAACCAGAAGGTGCCGCCCCCGGACCACCGCCTTGAAGCATGCAGGGCTGGCGATGCCCATTCATGATTGCGTGGAGGTCCGTGGCTGCCAGCGCCTCCAGGCCCCGTATGAGGCAGCCGTAAGCACGACTGCTTGGTGCAAGCGTTCCGCCAGCAGCCGGCGCTCCTTCTGCCTCCTGGGAGGTCGGGTTGCTTCCGCCTCCTGCTGCTGCTGCTCCTCCTCCTACTTCTCCTCCTCCTGCTCCTTTTCCTCCTCCTCCTCCTCCTCCTCCTCCTCCTCCTACTCCTCGCCCTCCTCCTCCTTCTCCTCCTCCTCCTCCTCCTCCTCCTGCTCCTCCTGCTCCTCCTGCTCCTCCTGCTCTTCCTCCTCCTCCTCCTGCTCCTCCTCCTCCTCTTCCTCCTCCTCCTTCTCCTCCTCCTTCTCCTCCTCCTCCTCCTCCGCCTCCTCCTCCTCCTTCAATGCACGGCATATCGGGGGACGTCAACTGACCACCTCACCGATCCCGGCCAGGCCGCTCCTGGGCCCAGGGTCGGTGATTGCGCCTCCCGGGCCAAGCCAGGAGGTCAAAGGCACCGATCCTGGGCCGGGGATGGGTCCGGCCAGAATCGGACGATTGGCACGCCCGCAGTGGAGACGGACGGGTGCGATGCCCAACAGCAAATGTTGTCCAAAACCGACAGCGGCCACTGTTGAGCAGCTGCCTTTCTGCCTCAAAAGGACAACGTCTGCGGTAACGGCGACAGCGAGTCCTGTCCAAAATGGACAGGAACTTCTGTTAGTCTTCGTACCCATTTTCTCCATACCCATTTTGGTCCTCCAGAGGTGAGTGGTCAGTTGACGCTTCCGAGCAGCGTAGGCTTTGGAAACTGAGCTGCACGAAGCAGGATGCCCCCCCCGCTGCCGTCGGGGCACAGGGCGGGATCGTCGAAGGCGGGGCAGTTGCTGCACTTGCTCTCGCACGTGCTGCAGAACACCACCACACCTGCTCATCCTGCCGCCCATCCTTCTCCTCCTCCCCCTCCTCTTCCTCCATCCCTGCCTTCCTCCCTCCCTCCTGCTCCTCATACTCCTCAACTTCAGAAGAGGACATGGAGACCACCACCGCGACCACCACCACCCACCACCACCACCACCACCACCACCACCACCATCATCATCATCATCATCATCATCATCATCATCATCATCATCATCATCATCATCATCATCATCATCATCATCATCATCATCATCATCATCATCATCATCATCATCATCATCAGCAGCAGCAGCAGCAGCAGCATCATCATCATCATCATCATCCTCTTCATCATCATCATCATCATCATCATCATCATCATCATCATCATCATCATCATCATCATCATCATCACCACAATCATCATCAGCATCATCAGCAGCAGCAGCATCAGCATCAGCGTCATCATCAGCAACAGCATCAGTATGAGCAACAACACCAGCATCATCCTCATCATCAGCATCATCACCATCAGCATCAGCATCATCAGTGTCGTCATCATCATCAGCAGCGGCAGCATCAGCATCAGCACCATCATCAGCTGCATCAGCATCATCATCACCATTATCGTCATCGAAATCATCATCAAAGTCATCATCATCATCATCACCAGCATCATCACCACCATCATCACCAGCATAATCATCCTCCTCATCGTCATCATCAGCATGATATTATTCGTCATCATCATCGTCATCGTCTTCACCGTCGTGTTCGTCATCGTCATCATCATCAGCAGCATCATCGTCATCATCATCATCATCATCATCATCATTCACAGCATCACCATCACCATCATAATCATCAGCATCATCATCATCAGCATCAACATCATCTTCAACATTATCATCAGCAGCAGAAGCATCGTCATGAGCATCGTCACCATCGTCCTCCTTGCTTCCCTTCTTCCTCCTCATGTTTCCCTCTTTCATCTCCAGTTTGCAGAAGACAACGACGCCGGCGGCGGACGGCGGGCGAGGGCGGGGCAGGCCCCCCCCCCGCTTCTCCCATGACTCCTGCTGGTGCTCCTCCTCCTCCTCCTCCTCCTCCTCCTCGCCCCCCCTACCCCTAATCCTCGTCCTCCTCCTCCTCTTCCTCCTCCTTCTTCTGGTTCCCTCTCCCTAATCCTTCTCTTCCTCCGCCGCCTCTTCCTTCTCGTCCCCCTCCCCCAAAATTCCATTCCATTATAGATGATTCATCCTTGTCACACCCCGACGAAGGTCGAAAGGTCGGGCCGGGCGTTTCGCCTGAGACATCCTCACCACGTATGACCCTAATGCTGAAACATTGAAAACCGCTTCACGGATGGAGGGCAGGTGGTTTTCAAAATGGGGTTCTCGACTCTGCGCCGCGAACATTTGTTTTCAAAATTGGCAAGGGTTTCACGGATTGCTGGCGGGTGGTTTTCAAAATGTGGCTCTCGCCTGCGCGCTGCGCACACTCGTTCTAATTTCCACTAAACAATGGCAAAAATCACATCTTGAAAACGGATATTTTCGAAATGTGGCTCTCGCCATAGCGCCGCGCACATTCGTTCTATTAAATGCGCAACAATCCCACGGATGGAAGGCGGCTGGTTTTCAACATGTGGCTCTCGCCTTTGCGCCGCGCATCTTCGCTGAAAATGTGCAGCAAAAGTTAAACATATTGAAGGCGGGTGGAATTCAAAATGTGGCTCTCGTTTTAGCGCCGCGTACGCTCGTTTCAAACACCTGCAACAATTTCATTGGTTCGCATGGTTAACGTACCAGAAGCGGTGTTTTGGCACGACTCAGGACTGTCAGGGCGCAACAATTACGTTGATTCGCCGTGTTGACGTCCCAATAATGGTGTCATGGCACGGCTCAATATTGCCAAGACGTAACAGTCAGGTTAACTCGTGGGAATGGTGTTTTGGCATGCTACAGGATGTTGGCACGCTTGTCGCCCAACGTGGCAATTCCCTCAATGAAAATGACCCCATGCCGGGGCCAATGATGAAGGAGCTTGGGGGGAGGGTGTATTACAACAGCGTTGATGAGTCTTTCCGCTTTCCGCTCCTCTGAAGGCAGCCGCTGATGGAACCACCGCCATCCACGAAACTCCACGCACGCGCCGAACGAAGCGAGACCAGGGCCCACACCCCGACCCAAAGCTCCGTCACTCCTCAAAATTTTCCCATCCCACTGAATTCCCCCCCTGTCGGCCGCAACCTCATGGCGCCCCTGAACCCAGTCGACACAATGGGGATGCAACGGGAGTACCACGGGGGTGGACCGAGGGAGGAGCTTCTTGGAAGTGGGGTCCTTACCTCTTGTTCAGCTCTTGCAAGGTTATGGCTCGACCTTCGGTGGGGTGCCCAACGCATCGGCCAGAAAACGCAAGGACCTGTTTCTTCGCATAGGCGCTGCGCGCGCGCGGCACCACGCGGGGCCTTCAGATCACCAGTGCGCCTGCGCCAGCTCAGAGGGAGCCCCAATACACAAATTCGCCACGAGACGGGACCGAGCCGAGTAACGCCTACTCAAAGCCAAGCACCCCCAGCGGCCACTTTGGAACTTGACATGGCGCCCCCTGGGATCCGAGACAAGCACGAGCGGATCGAACGACCGACGAACCAGAGGGCACTCGACGTCAGGGAATCCAGCAGCCGCCAGGTGGGCAAGAACGCGCCCTGTATAGTTGGCTACGAACCGAGCGGCCCACCACAGGGGCATCTGCCCTTCTACTTCAAGGCTACTGGGATGCCCACGAGCCCCAACTTCCGGAACCGATCCGCAAGCGCGTTAGCCCTAAAATGATGCCGCGGGATCCCCTTCGCCTAGGACTGAGACCAGGCGGTGCGCCCAGGAACCCAAAACAGTTGAATTAGTTCGCGGCCGACGTCCTGAACTTTCTCCCAGACAGAGACCCAAACTTCAGCATAAGGACTCGCGACTTTGCAGCAGACCTCGGGCGCCGCTGCAAAACCGCCGGCAGCGGCCTTACAATCGGCGATTACAACGACCCCCCACACGCGTTGTTGCGGTCGCAGATGCAGTGCCCAGCGCGCGTCGTCGCAGCGCCGCCAGAAGAGCGCCGCACAATGCACCGCGCGACTCGCCGTGCATATCTGTCCCCGCACACGCCCGCCCTGCTCGGCTGGCGCGCGCGAAATCAGGATTGGCGCAAGATCCATCAATGCCGACGAGCCCTGGCAGAGCCCCCCCCTGCAACGGTTCTCCATTACGAACCGCCGCCAGCTGAGACGGCAGAGGCTGCAAACGCAACTGGGAGTCTGCCAAGCCGCGGAGGAGTCTGCCAAGCCGCGGAAGAGCACGCGCGACGTCGTCAAGGTCAAGCCCGTCTCGAACAGACTTGGAAAAATCACAACAAT